GCTTCCCCCGCAATGGTGCTAGAAAGCTTGTTGGTATTTATTAATGCAAACAGAGAAATCCACAAGTGCATGGATACCATTGTACCTTTCACCCATGAGTATTCCATGGTATCTTATTTATCCTTAGGGAATCAATGGTTAAAGAAGTTGATAAATAACCATCATGTATCTACTAACTAGTATACCGACTAGACTAATGTGGGGTTAAGTGATAAAGATAGGGTTTTTGTATAATGACACGCACAGGGAAACTCCATGGTAAGATAAAAGAGTAGACAAGCTAAGCTAGGAGGACAATGGGTGAGTTCAAGGTTCCTTTATAATTCTCTATTACTATGGTTCTATTCTAGATTAGACCAAAGGGATTAACTAAACAATGGGTAAACATAGTGATCATACCATAGCACTTTGGAGCAGTTGTACCTCTTCGACCCTCGAGGGGGGTGAGAAAATGTGGTCGAGGGAAGGCTACCCAAAGCTCTACAAAAACACCAACCCGAACATTGTGGATTACAAAGGCCTGATCAGAGCTGTCACCTCTAGGGCTACCACAACTATCCGTGAGGTTGGGCACAAACTCAGGTAACCTATAGTTTAGACACCACGTCTACACTATCGATTACTACTCTAGTCAAGTACTATAACTAGAGCACTCGGTCGAGCGGAGATCCCATGCAAAAGTGCAGAACCACTATACTAACCATGCCTAGCTAAACCACTAAGGTGTGAACTAGATAACCATGAAAGATATTTTAGTAAATAGAGAACGTAAATCTATTGATACTTGAGTCTTACAAAGGAGCGATACTAAATTATACTAAACCTTCAAGGACTCCTCCAGAACTTGAGCATCTCTCCCTAACTACCAACTAGGCTAAGCTACTTTTACATCTTGGAAAATGGTAAAGAGGAGAGCACTTATGGTGTGTGTGAAAGGAGGAGCTCTCCCCTCTATTTATAGTCATAGAGAAGGTCGGTTTGGAGGAATATTCCCCGCATGTCCACATGCAACCGCCTTGGGGAGATCACTAGGAAGCGCCACGTTGAAGGAGGAGGCGAGAGGTGCGGTGGGGGGTGCGGCTGCACTCTGGTGGAGCCTTCCCGTGACCGCCTTTGCATGGTGCGCTCTCCACTGGACCTAGGTTGCATCTTCGAGGGTTTGGCCTAGTTTTGGTCTGGTAGGATTTGCTTTATGGGCTCTTTTCCCCCTTGTGTTTGTGCCATATGGAATATGTTTTGTGTGTTTGCGCATTTTCATTACTTTTTCCATGTTTTCCCGATATGTCCTGTTGTAAATGGACAATCACCAAAACTCTTAGAATTTGTTAGTTATAAATCCTAATATTAAATTTGGTGGTTGTTTTAGTGGATATTCTTTGAAAGTTGGTGGCTAAAAATAGGGGTTAAGAGCCATCAACAGAAGGCTCTCATTCTAGTTAAGGAGCCATTGTATGCGATAATGCCAGGCATGTCAGCATACCCCCTCGGGAGAATCGACCTCCAGGTTACCATACAAAAAGGCAAGAACCTAAGGTCCGAATTCCTTACATTCAAAGTAGTTGACCTTGAATCAATGTACAATTGCATCTTGGGATGACCGTTTTTGAAGAACTTCTTCCTCTTTCCCTTAGTTGTTTTCGGCTTAGGTGCTGGGGTCTTCTCGGGCTGGATTTGCCCTTGCAGCAGCTTGCCCCCGACAATAGCCTGTTTTTGGGTAGACTTCTCCCAAATCTCAACCTATCTCGGGGCTGACTCGTCCTTAGTCCTGGCAGGAGTAGGAGTTGGGGCTTGGGAGTTCCTTGTGTTATCCCCCTCGTTGTCATTAAGGTTCATGCTCCTGAGGATAATTCCCATAGAGGAGCTCACCTGATAACACAAGAAACAGGTTAACCCGAGTACCCTAAAGATGCAAGTCGAAGGAAGATTATGTTTTGTACCTAGGGAGGATGGTTCTCGGCATTGTATGGCCAGCGGATGTTTTCCTAGCTAGGTCGTCCAACATTGACAATATATCTCACCCGATGAGTAATCTCCTCATCAGACACTTCTGTTCAATAATACATTGGATTAAAATTCAATAGCAAATGCCAAAGCATGAATAAGGGCAAACTTAGAAAAGGTTCTTACATTCCGTCTATTCTCTATTTGGGTCAGTTGTGCCTATATAAGTGTAGGCAAGGTCCTGATTCTTCAAGGGAATAATCCTCCACTGAGCAAAAGTCTCGATTACATGTGCAGCAGTCAATCCGGCTTCCTATAGTGCCTGAACACGCTTGATGTGATTCCTCATCTTATTAGTGAGTGTGGGAATTGTATACCACACTTCACTGACAACGAGCATAATGTATTTGCCCTTGATCACATTCTTATCATGTAGTTGAATATGAAACCACTTTTCCGTATAGCCCTTCTAAGAGGATTTGATCGAAAAAGCGATATATTCTTCTACCCTTCTTATGGAAAAGCCGAAGGACCCAACAAACAACTTGTTGGAGTGATATACTCTCGAGTAAAAGTAGCACCAAAGATCGAGATGCTAGAACGTTGGGCAACATTTGAGCAATCTCGATCCCATAGTGCCTACAGACTCATTCCAAGAACTTCGATAGATACACCCCAAAGCCACACTTGCAATGAGCGGTAAAAGTGGTAACCTAGGTCATATCGAGGGTCAGGTCGCACTAACCTAAGTAGTAGTCCACTCATAGACTAGTGGACCTAGAAGTAGCCCAAGATTTCTCATCATCTCTTGATTCTTCATCGACATCATCGACTCAGTCTAGTACTAGAGGGGCTCGATGATGACCGATGGCTCCACTGGCTCTACCAGTTCTTTGGGCTCCTTAGTCTTTGGCTACACCAGCACTCGAGGCTCCGTCGTGTCGGCTCTAGCACAACTAGTGGCCTTCGTAGACCCTTGTGATTGCTAGGAGCTGGAAGCCATGGTGGTGAAAGGAAGATGGGGGAAAAAGCAAGGCAGCGAAAAGGTGAAAAATAGATTTGGACTGCAGAGCGGGTGAATAGGTGTAGTGGTTGCCACCGAATCAGGGTGAGGGGTTAAATGGCCACCTGGTGTGCATGATCCCCAAAAAACTGCTCAGCAGCCATGATGTGCGCTTAGACTGCCGCACATGCAGTTACTCACAAGGAAAACAATCACTCTTTTTGTTCCAAGAATAAAAAGTGGTGATTTTGTGCCCTACGGGTGACATAAACTAAGATATTTTCACATCCATTCAACGAGCGACAATTTACCCAACTTTAACTCAGGGCTTCGAGCGACTCGCTAGGAAAAGCATGGTGTAAAAGGATCCCAACTTTAGATTGCGTCTACGTGCAAAGTATGACGCGGCCTGTAATGACCCAAGTTTGCTACAACCTAGGCTCTCAATTTTGATCACCAACGAAGCTCCTAGATAAGCCCTGCAGGCATTTGGATACCACAGAAACTGTGAATACATTGCTTTTCTACCCAACAAGGCAACTCACAATTCGGAAGAGTGAAGCATCCGCAACGGTCAAACCTAGTCACTAAGAGATGCACCACATTGGCTCATATCCATCCCCCAACCAACAGAGAATACAGAACGGTTTGACATCATACCGGACCATCTGTCAGTACCTGAACTGCATTTAGTAAGTGGGGAATGAGCTGTCCTCCACTCAACCCTTGGCCACACATGTCATATGCACGAAATGGAACATGGGATCATCAGTTGATGCAATTCCCAACTCAAGCTATTTGTTGGTGTTTTTTACTGATAAATATTTGGTTCTTGGGGAACCCTACTTGGTGCGAAGAACAATCATAGATGGAGACGAGATTTATACTGTTTGGGCCCCTGGGAAGTGAGTAAAAGTCATACATCCAGTTGCTACTCTTGTACTGCTTGTATTCGGCGAGATTGCTATTACAATGTAGCTATGCCTATGAAAGAGTCGATGATTACAACAGGGGATATTGCTAGCTATTTATATCCGGGATCAACTTTCCCTACAAGCTAAGGAGTCATGCACTAGTCGGAGTCTTGGCGCAATCCGAAGATATCCTTCCTTGAATGGGTCATCGTGGGCCTTCGGGTAATCTCTGATCCGATGTCGATATCGGCAATACGGAAGTCGGGATACAAGCTTGTCTATCAAACACAACTTAGTCATATGTGAGCAGTCGAGATTGCTTTAGTCAAGAAGTTTGTAGCCTGAGTACCAAGAGGTAGCCCGAGCTTCTAGTGATGATTTGAGTCCCAATCTCATGGAAGGAGATAAAGGTGCGCTATTGGGAGATGAGCTTGCACTAGTGCCATCCCTGGGTCATCTTGTCTTCTCAATCCTATTTCACATGCAAGCCAGGGAGCATGTAGTCGTCTGTTAGTCGAAGTGCTATGTCAGTTCAGTTCGCCATGAGTGCACGTGGTGGAGATTTAATTCCATTTTAATTGGGACGATGGTTGAGATTCCTAGGAAGGCGGCTTGGTCCTATTTAATCAGACCCACTTGTGATGAATCTGCAACCTCCATTCCCCAATCTTGTTGAGAAAATGAGGAAGAAGACCGTCGGCCTCAAGCGTCCTTGCAAGGTGCCATGTATGCTGCTCGCCAACTCGCCTGGCCAATCGACCATGGTGTCATCATCAGGTAGTATGCCGTCTCCCCCGCCATCCATGCCCGCATCTCCATCCTCGTCGACCTCTGGAGCCCCAGTGCCAGCAGCGACATTGTCGCTGGCCGTGCTTCCCACGCCTCTAGCCCCTACGGTCCTGGGAAGGGATGTTGGGGTCAACGAAGGCACTCCGCCAGGGTTCCCGGCTGGGCAGTCAACCCAGCCGGTGCCATCGGCACTGGAGGTGGTGATCGAGCTCTCCGATGAGGACGAGCCAGACTAGCTGACCCCAGCGGTAGGTATCGTTCTCGCTACCCTGGTCGTTTCCACTATCTTGGTCACCTCCGCCACCCTCGACATCCCCGGCCCCTCTACTCCTCATACCCATGGCTCGCCAGACATGAGCCATGTTGAGGAGATTGCAAGGAGGCTCTTTGTTGAGCTGAATCATGAGGCCATTGGCATCCTAGGGGATGGTGGCTTGGTGATCCCTAGCAGCAACAATGAAGAAGAGATCGCTGAAGAGGAGGCCGACGAGGAGGAGAAGAAGGAAGAGGTGAAGGACGAGCCTACGGGCAGTGGGTCACCGTCGAGGAGCTAGGCTGCTCCCATCTCATCAGCGAGCCCTATAAGGAGCTTGGTGACGATCGGAGGTGGGGCCTACTCTAGCTATCTTAGATTAGGGTTCCACTTTAATCATTTGTAAATCCATCCTCATGAATTGTCAATGAAATGACTAGTACTCGATATGATTTTTTATTTATTTTTCATCCGCGTCCTTCAAACCACTCCATCTACGAGTCACCATGAGCAGAGTTGCAACGCACTTTGCACGTGGATGTGGTTTAAAGTCGGGGCCTTTTTCGCAGTTTTGTCCCCATCAGTGAGTTTACTCATAGCTCGGATTAATAGACTAATCGAGATACTCTAGTCGGGTTGGAGCTTTACTCATAATTCGGGCACCAAATATCATATGAATTATTCATAGGGCACCTAATCGCTAATTTTATTGCAGGAATAAAAAAGTGATAGTTTTCCTTGTGAATAATTGTTGGTGCGGCAGTCTTGGCGCACATCATGGTTGCCGAGTGATTTTTCGAGGATCGTGCATGGCAGATTGCCATTTAACCCCTTGCCTCGCTTCGGTGGCAACTACTGCGCCCATTCTCCCACTTAGCATTTCCAAACCCTGCCTTTAGCCTTTTCTCCTTTCCCCTTGCCCTCAACTCCTCCCCTCCACCGCCGCTATGGCCTCAAGCTCTGAGCATCACACCACCACTCGCCGTGAGGAGGCTACAATGTTGGAGCCCCAGCCCCTGGTCCATCTGAAGGAGGAACCCAAGGACCTAGCGGAGCCGGCAGTGCCACTGGTCGTCATTCAACAGAAGAAATACTGGACCACCTTGACTACATCGGAGACAAATCTAGAGACACTGAGGGGGCGTGGTCTTCTTCTAGAAGGTTATGAATGGACTGCTCATTGCAAATGTAGATTTGGAGTGCCATCGTCCAAGTTCTTGGAGCGAGTTTGTAGGCATTATAAGATCGAGGTTGCTCAGATGTTGCGCAACGCTATCGCTATGCTTAGCGTTTTTGCCTTTCTGTGTGAGGCGTGGCTTGGTGTCTAGCCTTTATCTCAATTTATGGTGCTACTATTACTCGAGCATGTATGATGGCACCATTCTGTTCGTTGGATCAGTTGGTTTCTCCCTTAGGAAGAAGGGGGAGTACATCGTCTTCCCGATTAAGTCCTCCTAGAAGGGCTTTGCAGAAAATTGGTTTTACATTGATCTCTAGGAGAAGAATGTCATTAAGGCTGATTATAGGATGCCTATGATTAGTGAAGCCTAGTATTGGACCCCCCATCATGACTGAGAAGATGCAAGGTCACATCGAGCATGTTTAGGCACTCCGAGAAGTCGTATTGACTGCCACACACATAGTCGAGACCTTTGCTAAATGGAGCATGATTCCCTTGAAGCGCAGGAGTCTAGCCTGCACATATTCAGGGATCATGGATCTAAACAGAGAGTCAGTGGCAGGTTAGACGCCCCTATCCTGACTTCATCCTTATTCAGAAATATTACCCTCTTGATTGTTTGGCCTTAACCTCGACTTGTTTTTCTAGAAGTGTCAGAGGAAGAGATCACTCGTTGGGTGAAGTATATCCTCGGCGTGGATCAGGGCCATATAGCATCAATAATCCACCACCCCGAGTGAGTGGATTCGGTCTCTTTATACTTGCCTCCCTAAACAGTCGGGTTTGCTTGATCTCTCGTGTTGTCAGGCGCTCCCCAGTATCAGAATTGTCCCGGAAGCGTTGAACTGAGCGATGATTAGGAGGATGCTTCAGGAGCTCCCCAAGCCCCAGCCCCTGAGCTTGTCGGGACCATGGATGAACCGGCCTAGGAATAGGCAAGGGTCGGGAGAAGACTGCCCAAGAGCAAGAAGTGGTCGGGGGGAGGCTACCACAGGAGCAGGCTATCCCCGAGAAGACCCCCGCCCCAAAATTGAGAATGAGTCAGGGAAAGAAGACAAAGGAGGACACAACGCGGGGTCTGGTGAAACCCTGGATGACGCTGGCCGCCTGATCGGCACCTCTGGTGGAGAAGAGAAAGCTCCAATCGCAACGGGAACCCGACAACATCTCCCTTCCAAAGAGCAAGAGGGCCAGGAGTAAATCCAAGAGCCCTCCATCTAGAGAGGGCACTAGGGTGGTGACGGCCCATGGTGGTGCTAGCAAAGAGTGCTCAATCAGGGACCCACCCCAAGGACATGACTAGGTATCCAATATGATTGTCTTTGGTAGATTATTAGAGACATTCGCTTATCTGGATGGCATCAAATGCACACGGGAGGTTTGTGTTCAGGAGAAGGTATCAACCCTGACAACCAGCAACCCAACAACTAGGCGGGCGCCAAAGGTTAAGTGCTCTATTCCCTTTAAGCCATGAGTGAACTAAATTGTGTGGTTATATATCTTCTTCAACCTGAATATCCTCTTGATGTATGTGTCTTTTGATAATGCTACTAGGCCAGCTGAAGCCCCAAGCATCATACGAATGTTGAAGCCAAGCTAGTGGAAGGAGCTCTCACTTTGGTTGGGCATGTCGTCAGCATCCTCAGAAGCTTCCTGCCCAATTTCGATGTAGGCCTGATTTCTTAGGGCTACAATTGTGATGGAGGTAAGGCCGAGGAGCTCATTGACAAGAGCTAGGCAGCGCTTGAACCATTTGTAGAGAAGTTGAACCTGTCTATTAGTGATGAGGAAGTGGAGGAATGCAAACATTTACCTATCCCTGCAACACTGTGAGATGTATTATAAGTACTACCCTTGTTAGTCTCACATAATTCTTCTAATTTTTGCTATTTTGACCCTTTATCAAGCAATTAGTTAGACTTATAGTAGCTAAACTCAGGTGGTTTGCGTATTGTATGTTGATGCCATTTACTTGATCTAGGCTTTGCATGATTAAGAATTTTTGTAGACTGGTGAATAGTAGTATGATAGCCCCCGACTATTTTTTTGGATATGAGTAACTTACCCGAATGAAGAGTAGTAGACTAGTCGAGAAAAAATGTTGAGATTGAACTGCCACAGCCCCAACCCCTGAGAGTATTATGCTTGGGTAAAGCACGACTAATAGAGAAAAAGGAGTATAGAAAATATAAAGCACTTATCTAAATGTGACACTGAGAAACAAAACATCAGGAACGCAGTTTATTATGCATAATAGTGTTGTAGCCGATCCATGTTCCATGTGTTTGGTAGCATGTCTCCGTATATCTCTACTAGTCGGTATGCGCCTGGTCGGGCTATATCAACTATAATGTATGGCCCCTGCCAAGGGCGTGTTAACTTAGTCTTATCCTTTGTGCGCTAGTCTTGTTTGAGTACCAAGTCTCATATACTAAGCGCCCGACCGTGTACACGCTGGCTGTGATATTTTCGATGGGCATGCTGGTATTTCTCTACTCGAAATGCGGCTATATCATGCTTCTCTTCAAGGAGTTCAAGGTCGGTATAACGACGGTCAGCTTGCTCTTCTTTAGAGAACATCGCTACTCAGGGCTAGTTTAGTCGAACCTCAGGGGGAAGGACAGCTTCAGCCCCGTACACAAAGAAAAATGGTCTTTCACCCATGGCCTGGTTAGCTGTAGTGCGCACTGACCATAAAAATATATGGAGCCCTTCGACCCATTTTTTATCATAGGCGCTAAGCCTATTAAAAATGCGTGTTTTGATCCCTTACAAAATTATACCGTTAGCACGCTCTACTTCACCATTGGTCATCAAGTGATAGACTGAGGACCGATAATGCTTAATAGCATGTCTTTCACAAAAATTCTCAAACTTTTTGCTGGTAAATTGTGTACCATTATCTAAGAGTATTCTGTGCGGTACGCCAAAACGCATTACAATGCTCCGCAAAAACTTGACCGTATTTTCTTTGGTTATCCGGCGTACAGGCTCGGCTTCAACCCACTTTGTGAAAGTATCGATCGCAACAATCAGAAATCTATAACCACCCCAGGCTCTTGGAAAAGGACCTAGGATGTCGATGCCCCATGTGGCGAATGGCCAAGACAAAGGGATTGTGTTTAACGCTTGAGCTAGCTGGTGAATCTGTCATTTGAAAAACTGACAAGACTCATACGTTCTAACTAACTCAGTGGCGTCTTCGAGTGCTATTGGCCAGTAGAAACCTTGTTGAAAGGCTTTCCCGACCAACGTTCTGTGAGAGGCATGGGACCCATAGATTCCTCCATGGATGTCGCAGAGCAAACTAATGCCCTCGGCCTAGGTGATACACTTGAGAAGAACCCCATTTCGCCCTCGTTTGTAGAGGGTACCGTCTACCATTTGATAACTCATGGCTTTATGGCTAGTTCATTCTATATTCATGTCATCGACCAAAGTAGCCTGGTTTCTACGGTATGCCTGGATTGGATCCATCTAGTTCTCCCTATTTCCAACTAGAGCGGCAGCACGAGCCGTATCGCCCAGCATAGACTTCCCAAGGAATTCGCTGAGTATTGCCTCGTCGCTTGACGGATCAAGCATGGAGTTTGGACCTGACTTTGACATTGACATAGGGGGTTTTGTGAGCGCTTCGACCAGGACGTCTCCTGGTAGATGCTGTCATTCAGCTGTCCTACTAGCGAGCGTATCGGCATCCGAGTTGAGTTTTCTCGGGATGTATTGGACCTCAAGTCCATCAAATTTAGATTCCAATCGTCTATATGCCTATAAATATGTGGCCATGTTCTTGTTTATTGCTCGGTATCCTTTTCTAGTTTGTCTGGCTACTACTTCTGCATCCCCTATCACAAGTAGTTGTCGAACACCCAAGGACATGGTAATTCATAAACCAGTTAACAAGCCCTCATATTCGGCAATATTGTTAGTTGGAGTTGGATCAAAAAAACCAATTTGAATTGTGTACCTCATGGCATCCACTTCTGGAGAGATTAAGATGACACCAGCCCCTGCACCGTTCTTGCATTTTGCTCCATCATAGAACATTAACCAGTGCTCGGGGTTTTGGGCTACCTCCTCGGGTTCAGGATTTGTCCATTATGCAACAAAATCTACTATAG